CCCTTCCCTCCACAACTACCACCCCCCAACCCCCCCCACCAAAGTTGTAAAACTCGTTTTCAACATAGTGTCTTGTATATCTGTATGACCCAGCAATTTGGGGCATTTACCCAAACAGTTACAGACAAGCCCATACTAAAACTACCAGCACAACTATGTTTTTACCATAGCTAAGATATGGAACCAACCCAGATGCCCCTCAGTAGATGAATGGATCAAGAAAATGTGGTATATATACACAATGGAATTCTATGCCTCCATCAGCAAGAATGGCATTACCCCATTTGTTAGGAAATGGAAAGAATTATATTAAGTGAAGGAAGCCAGGCCCAAAGAAAGATAGGCCCCATGGTTTCCCTTATTTGCAATATCTAGTACATGTGTAGGAGTTATACTTTAAAATCGCTTCTATGTAAAAGGCTAGCAGGGAATTTTGCCAGCCTATTAAAAGCCAAAATGACATTGTTGAGATCAGAAATGTACCTTGTGTGTGTGTGTGTGTGTGTGTGTGATGCGTTTTTGAGACTTGTACTATTTAATGTGAGGCTTTACTCACGAATGGTTACTATTATTTGTAGGATATTCATAAACAATTGAGAGCTGGGAATTTATAGAAAAATTAAAGCAATTTAAACATTATGGTGACATGTGAGTATTGCATAAGGGATGTAGCTATGAAAAAAAGTACTTCACACTCACACACACACACACACACACACTCACAGTGGGGTAGACAGTAGGAAGAAGTCTCTAGAAATAGGTTTAAAGTGATCAAGTAACAAAAGTGAGCTATGTTCAAAGGAACAGATGTAAATCTGTCAGTGGAAGAAATACACTCCGCTGGCTGTCTATAACTCATGCTTGTCGCTTTGGGAAAGTGTGGTTAAGTGTGAGATTGTAGTTCACCTGTGTTTTGGTTGAGAGTCTTCCCTTCAGGCAAGATAAAGATATCGTTCCTATTAGCTTTAGTGTGTGTGTGTGTGTGTGTGTGTGTGTGTGTGTGTGCGTGTGTGTGTGTGTGTGTGTGTGTGTTGGTGTGTTGGTCCTGGAGTTTGAACTCGGGGCATGGGCACTGTCCTGGAGGTATTTTGCTCACTTGAGCCACAGTGCTACTTTTGGCTATTTTCAGTTTTGGTAGTTAACTAGAGCGTCTCGAAAGGTTTTCCTGGATGGCTTTGAACCTCAATCCTCGGGTCTCGGCTTCCTGAGTCGCTGAGGTTACAGGTCTGAGCCACCAGCGCCTGCTTTATCTTTCAGTTTAAATCTTTTCTTAGTCAGGGCACTTTCCAAATCCTGAGGTTTGAGAGCAGGGTCTAGGTTTAGACTTAAACTAAAGGGAGCTAGCGCCACCCTGTGTTTTCTTCCCAATTTACAGCTAGCAATTGTTGGTGGACAGACTTGGAAGCAGGATCTTTGGTTAACATTGACCTTGTGGAAGACAGGAATTTTTGCTGGTAAGTAAACAAAGCCGCACTTTGTTGTTCTTATTTTTGTTTAACTGTAAAGAAGACAGGAAGGCTCCATGTTTAAGAGAGCTTGAGGCCTTGGTGCAGCTGTTAAAGGTCTGACAATGGGAATAGAATTACAATCTGCCTTTATTGAAGAACCTCAGTCGACTTTTTTGTCGGTCCGTGGGGCTTGAACTCAGGGCCTGGGCGCTGTCCCTCAGCTCTTCAGCTCAAGGCTGGTGCTCAACTGCTTGAACCACAGCTTCATTTCCTGTTTTCTGGTGGTTCATGGGAGATCAGAGTCTCACGGGCTTTCCTGCCCAGGCTGGCTTTGAACCTTGATCCTCAGATCTCGGCCTCCTGAGTAGCTGGGATTATAGACATGAACTACTGGTATCTGGCCTCTTTGTGGATTCCTCCCCTCTACACATCCCTCCTCCCCCGGTCCTGGGACTTGAACTCTGGGTCTGGGCACTCACCCTGAGCTTCTGTTGCTCAGGGCTAGCACTCTACCACTTGAGCCGGACGTGGGGCCGTGGTTCAAGTGGTCGAGCACTAGCCTTGAATGAAAAAGCTATGGAACAGGACCAGGTTGTGAGTTCAAACTTCCGTTTAGGCACCAAAAACAACACTGCGTGGGCCTTCTGCTTTACAGCATTCCACCTGCAGAGCCCGAGCAGTATCCAGGTGCGTGGATTTCAGCTTGTCTATAGCCAAGTGCAGGTGGTTACACCAGCCAGGAGTTTATTCACTCAGGATTCAGCTTAAGAATGCACTCCAATGGGTACCTATGGCTCCCGCCTGAGATCCTAGCCTTAAGGAATGAGATTCGAAGCCATCCCAGAGAGACACAGCGAGACAGTCTTACCTCCAGGTAAGCAGAAGTGGAGGAGCGGAGAAAGAGGCTCAAGTGGTACAGTGCCAGCCGTAAGCATAAAAGCTAAGGGACAGAGCACTCGAGCCCCGAGTTCAAGCCCCCATACTGGCATACAAAGAGGAAAAGAAGGGGGAAAACCCACTCCGAAAGACTTAAACAAGCTAACATCAGGAGGTCGTTGTTGGATTGTAAACACCTGTTTCAGATCATTAACAGGCCAAGGGGCAGCAGCTGCTCCTGGGGGCTGGAAACGGGCTGTATTTTTGCCTTAGCAAAGCAATCCGTGGCTCCCTCACTCAGCAGCCCGGGACGTCTCCGTTTGTGGAGGGAGATGCTTCCCTCCTCCTTCCTCCTCTGTGGGAGGCGAGGGGAACGCTGTCATCTGGCAGGAGGGGCGTAGCATGAGCGGCTGACGGATCCTTAGTGTATCATCGGGTGGCCGTGAGGGAAGGCAAGGAACTCGCCGTGGGCTCGGGGACGTTGCAAAGTTCTTCTCCGTGGGGACAGCGTTGGCCTACGGTGGATTCCGAGAGTGATCTGTCACGGGATGCCAGCCATCTTCCGGCTCTGCGTCCCCCTGTTCAAAGCTAGCCCAGATATCAAAGCCCAAGCCTTCTCTCCAACTAGCCATTGAGAAGCTGGACGCGGAGGTGTGGCGTAAGAGGTAGACTGCAGACGGGGGTGGAAATCAATCCAGGTGGTGAGGCCTTGGATTTAAGGCCCAGGAACTGCACAAAAAATGAGTGGAGGGCGGACACACCGAGAGACAGAGACAGAGACAGACAGAGAGACAGAGACAGAGACAGACAGAGACAGAAAAACAGAGACAGAGACAGACAGAGACAGAGAAACAGAGACAGAGAGACAGAGAGAGACAAGAGACAGAGAGACAGAGACAGAGAGACAGAGAGAGACAAGAGACAGAGAGACAGAGAGAGACAAGAGACAGAGAGACAGAGACGGAGACAGAGACAGAGAAACAGAGACAGACAGAGACAGAGACAGACAGAGACAGAGAGACAGAGACAGAGAAACAGAGACAGAGAGAGAGAAAAGAGACAGAGAGACAGAGACAGAGACAGAAGGAGACAGAGAGACAGAGAGACAGAGATAGACAGAGACAGAGACAGAGAGACAGAGAAGGAGATAGTCAAGAGAGCATGGTACGCTACCTGGAAATTGCTCGATTGCAATTCCCACCTGTGAGGCTTGGGGATGAATGCTTCAGAGGGAAAACAAAAGCTGTACTCACATCTGTATTCATAACATTGTTTTTGCTTAAAAGCATTCTCCCATTCCCCAGCGAAATTTCAATTTTATTGTTGCAAAACCAAATCAAAGCATTTTTTTTTTTGGTCGGTGGTGGGACTTGAACTCTGGGCCTGGGCGCTGTCCCTCAGCTCTTCAGCTCAAGGCGAGCGCTCTACCACTTGAGCCACAGCGCCATCTCTGGTTTTCTGGTGGTTCATTGGAGATCAGAGTCTCAGGGACTTTCCTGCCCGGGCTGGCTTTGAACCGTGATCCTCAGATCTCAGCCTCCTGAGTAGCTGGGATGACAGGCGGGAGCCACCGGCACCCGGCTCTGTGAGACTCTTATCTCTAATGAACCAGCAAAAATGTAGAAGTGGAGCCATGGCTCAAGTAGTAAAGCAACAGCCTTGAGCACAAAAGCTGAGGGATCACACCCAGGTCCTGCGTTCAGCCCAAAGCATATTCTTTATTTGCATATGTGTATATTTATGTAAAGGATAATAATAAATAGAATAAAGATGTAAAATATACAATATACATTATATGTGATGTGTATATCATGTGTAATACATGTTACACACACGCACACACACACACTGAGGTGCTGATAGCTCACTCCTGTAATCCCAGCTACCCAGGAGGCTGAGGTCTGAGGATCGAAATTCAAAATCAGTCCAGGCAGGAAAGTGTGTGAAACCCTCGATCTCCAATTATCCAGAAAGAGTGGGAAATGGAACCATGGCCCGTGTGGCAGAGCACTAGCGTAGAGAGAAAGAGCCGAGCAATAGCACAAGGCCCTGAGTTCAAGTCCCAGCACACACACACAGACACACAGACACACACAGACACACGCAGACACACAGACACACGGAGTACCAGCACCCACATGTAGTACCAACACACACACAGTCAGCACACACACACCTACACCTACACAGCACCAGGACACACACACACACACACACACACACACACACATGGGCGGTTTACAGTTCCACACCAGTCTGTGTAGGAATACAGGTGGTAAAATTCTCTGTAGGGTTCCTGAGGTCAACGTTGAAATGCACGCATCATGAACACAGTGGAAGGCGAGTGGGTTTCTGTTTTTTGTTTTTAATCAGTCCTGGGATTTGAACTCAGGGCCGGGGCGCTGTCCTCGAGCCTCTCTGTGCTCAAGGCAGGCGCTCTACCCCTTGAGCCACGGCGCCACTTCCGGCTTTTTCTGTCTGTGGTGCGGAGGATTCGCACCTAGGGCCTCGTGCACGCCGGGCGAGCACTGTGCCCTGAGCACCTGCCCAGCCCAGTTTCTGTGTGTGCTGACCTTCTGCCTGGTTTTGTTCACGCAGCGCGTGTCCCTCTCTCTCCAACTCTCCATGCCTCCCATTTCCCTCCCAGGACACAGGGAGGCCGGGGGCAGATGCCAGTCACTGCCGTGATCTCTTTCTAGAACGTTCCTTCTGGCAGATCCATCTCAGCTCGGCCTGGCAGCTCTCAGCGTACAAGCGCTTGTGGGAGGCGACCGCACAGTTGGTGTCCTGCCACACGCTTGGGTCCTTGTCCTGCCACACGCTTGTGTCCTGTGCCCCGTCCGTCAGCTGGAGGCTGCGGGGAGAGCCACATGCCCGCGTGAGCGTGACCAAGTGTGGAATGCTCCCCACGCCTCCCCTAGCGCCCGAGGCCGCCCCAGAACAAACGCTCAGCCGCAGAGACGCAAGGGACACCGGTTCAAGGCCACAGGATGCCACAAAGCCTTTTACAGATGGCGGATAGGCGTGGGACACTCTAGATCTCATCTTTACTGGGGAAGAATCATTCGTGTGTGTGTGTGTGTGTATGTGTGTGTGTGTGTGTGTGGAAGAGAGACAGACAGAGACAGAGACAGACAGACAGAGAGTGTGTGTGTGTGTCCTGGGATTTGAACTCAGGACCCTGGCACTACCTCTGAGCTATTGTTGCTCAAGGCCAGCAGTCTACCATTTGAGCCACAATCCACTTACAGCTTTTTCTGGTGCTTAATTGGAGATCAGAGTCTCATGGACTTTCCTGCCCGGGCTGGCTTTGAACCCTGATCCTCAGATCTCAGCCTCCTGAGTAGCTGGGATGACAGGCGTGAGCCACCGGTGCCCAGCTGCCCTGTGACATTTTCACAGACCCTTTCCAAAGAAGTTATCAGTCCATTCCTGGTCCTTTCAAACTCCATTCAAAGCCTGGCATCGCAGCTACTCAGGGAGCTGAGATCTGAGAATCATGGTTCAAAGCCAGCCCTGGGCAAGAATTTCCATGAGACTCTTAACTCCAATGAACCTCCAGGAAGCTGGCAGTGGAGCTGTGGCTCGAGTGGCAGAGCACCAGCTCGAGTGAAAGAGCCAAGCATCAGGACAGGCCCTGAGTTCAAGCCCCAGGACCAGCACCAAAATAAAGGAATCAATTGAAGATCAGCATGAAGGGCGAACGCGGGCTTCCTGGTGAAAATCCGCTCCCCGCCTGGGAATCCTGCATCTCCTCCGGCTGCTCCGGCTTCTGGAGACTTCTTGGCCCAAATTCAGATGTGGAGAAACGGGGTTTCCACCTTGTACTGCAAGCCCGACAGATGACGTCACCAGGACTCACCTGGAGGAGCTGAACTCAGAGCCGTTGGTCCACTTCCACGTCTTGCCCAACACTGAGCGATGTAGTCCGATCCAGTAGAGATGTTTGCTGTGCTCCAGAAACTCCAGAAACAGGAGCTTCTGGGATAGAAGGGAACAGAGGACAGCATGGCACTTTTTGTTTTGGTGCCAGGCCTGGGGCTTGAACTCAGGGCCTGGGCGCTGTCCCTGAGCTTTTTTGCTCAAGGCTAGCACTTTACCACTTGAGCCACAGCCCCACCTCTGGCGTTTGGGAGCCAAGAGTCTCACGGACTTTGTTGCCTGGGCTGACTTTGAACCATGATCCTCGGCTCTCAGCCTCCTGAGGAGCTGAGATTTCAGGTGTACCTGATCTTATTCTGTGCACCCCTAAAACCCAGGGTAGCAACACCCCCACAGTAAGAAGTTCCTCACATCTCTAAGCGCCTCATTCTGCCTTCTCTTTGGTATTTCTCTTCCTCAAGATAGATGGTAGATACATACACACACAAATACATAGATATAAAAATAAAGATAGATGAGTTATACAGACATGCATACAAAAATTGGATAGACACAAAAAGATAGATAGATGCATGCATACACATACACACAGAAACATAGATACATACAGAATACCCAGATAGAGAGATAGATAATAGCTATAGACATAGATACACAAATACAAAAATAGAGATAGAAATGATGGAGGGATGGGCGAGTGGATGGGTGGGTGGTGGATGATGAATGGATGATGGCTGATGGGTGGATGCATGGGTAGTGATTGGATTATGGGTGAATGGATGGTGAATGGGACAATGGATGGATGGATAGGTGGTGGATGATGGATGGTGGATGGATGATGGATAGGTGGATGACAGATGAATGGTAAATGATGATAATGGATGGATGATGGATGGTGGGTGGATGGTGGATGATGGGTAGATGGATGGATGGATGGATGGTGGATGGATGGTGGATGATGGATGATGGATGGGTGGATGGATGGATGGATGGTGGATGGTGGATGATGGGTAGATGGATGGATGGATGGATGGTGGATGGATAGTAGATGGATGGTGGATGATGGATGGATGGGTGGATGGGTGGATGGATGGATGGTGGATGATGGATGATGGGTGGATGGATGGATGGGTGGATGGATGGTGGATGATGGATGATGGATGGGTGGATGGATGGATGGGTGGATGGATGGTGGATAATGGATGGTGGATGATGGATGATGGATGGATGATGGATGGATGGATGGTGGATGATAGTTGATGGGTGGATGGATGGAAGGATGGATGGTGGATGGTGGATGATGGGTAGATGGATGGATGGATAGTAGATAGATGGATGGATGGTAGATGATGGGTGGATGGATGATGGATGGATGGTGGATGATGGATGATGGATGGATGGTGGATTATAGTTGGATGGTGGATGGATGGATGGATGGTGGATGGATGGTGGATGATGGATGATGGATGGATGATGGATGGATGAATGGTGGATGGATGGATGGTGGATGATGGGTGGATGGATGAATGGATGGATGGTGGATGATGGATGCTGGATGGATGGTGGATGGTGGATGCTGGATGGATGGTGGATGGATGGGTGGATGGTGGATGATGGATGAGGGACAGATACACAGACGGATGAATGGATGTAGACACAGGCATATTGAGTCTCTGCTCTTTATTCTCCTGCAGGATAAGCTTTGGGAATCGCAGGTCTCCACCCCCACCGCATGGAGCCTTTGGTGAACAGCACAGAGGTCCTGGCACAGGCCTCCAGGTGCTGAAAGCCAGGACGGCGTCTCCCTCACACTCACCAGCTCCTCCGCATCGTGAATCAGCAGCAGGTTGGATTGCTTTGTGGAGCAGTAGGTCAGACTGCCATTCCAAGACAAAGGTGTGGATGATAGAAACAGGCACTTGTCTCCAAGTTCATGCCAAGACACAGGGCACGCTGCCATGGCTGGTCTCTCTACGGGAGAAACTGGAAGAGGTTGAACTTCCACCCAGCCCCTGCTGAATCACAGCCCGCCATACACACACACACACACACACACACACACACACACACACACACACACACACACACACAGAGACCAGTACAATACTGCTGTAATAACAGGAAGCTCATTATAACTTTGACATTTTCAAGATCATGTTCAATTTGTTCACAGAAAATGTAGAGTCAATGACCAGAAATATAGCAAAGTATAAATGAAATTACATGATATTAGAATACACAAAAATGACATTGAAACCACTCAAAGAGCCACATTTTATTTTTTTTAAGACACCAAGAGATAGAATTACTAGTTCCAGATGAGCTGATAAAACAGATGCTGATCAAGACTTGAGACTCACCCCTGCAATCCCAGCTCCTCAGGAGACTAAGATCTGAGGATCATGGTTCAAGGCCAGCCTGGGCCAGAAAGTCTGTCAGACTCTTATCTCCAGTGAACCAGCAAAAGAATTAGAAGTAGATCTGTGGCTCAAGTGGTAGAGTTCTATCCTTGGGAAATAAAGCTCAGGGACAGTGCCCAGGCCCTGAGTTCAAGGCCCAGTACATGCACACGCACGTGCACACACACACACACTCACAACTAAGTCTATTTCTTACTTTAATTAAATTCCTCACCAGTGTTAATTTCCCTAAATAGACAGGAATATCTAACTCACCTAAAAAGACTGAACCTAAAGCAAAGTATATAACCAACTGTAACCGATTTCAGTAAATCCACGAGAAAGACCACAGGGAGTATTGTAAGAAAATTTCTGCCAAATGATGTATTCATCCACTAATAGAACTCACTGGGTATCTTTTTATCCCCAAGAAGGGTTTTCTTCTTTCTTTCTTTCTCCCCTTCCTTCCTTCCTTCCTTCCTTCCTTCCTTCCTTCCTTCCTTCCTTCCTTCCTTCCTTCCTTTCTTCCTTCTTTCCTTCCTTCCTTCCTTCCTTCCTGTCCTGGGGTTTGAACTCAGGGCCTGAGCATTTCTCTGAGCTTCTTTTGCTCAAGCTAGCACTCTACCACTTGAGCCACAGCACCACTTCTGAATTTTTCTGTGGTACTAAGAAATCGAACCCCGGGCTTCATGCATGCCAGGTGAACACTCAGCCACATTCCCAGCCCTTAACTTTTTTCCCTTTAGTTGAGTCAAGCATGAAAGCCTCGTGACTGGGGTCCTCAGTGTGGTTATTGAGCATGTGATAGCCACCCCACCTTAGCTGGCAGGAACTTCAAGCCAAGGCAAGTTACCTGTTGTTTCGGTTCTGTTTTCTTGAATGTCCACCGTGCCCTCTTCTGTCGGTGATTTTTGCATTAAGAGTACCACTAGCAAAGAACACAGCAAGAGGGGTATATATGGAAATATGCACTTGAATGGATGTTACATGTTACACACATATGGCCAGAGTCAAGTTATCTCCACAGGCTTGAAAATAAAAAGTATTACCAGTGGGGTGACAATGAGCCTGATTTAGAGATGAAAACCATTTTTAAAAAAAACCAAAAAGACAGACAACAACAACAAAAACAGGTGCTATGGCTCATGCCTGTAATCCTAGCTACTCAGGAGACTGAGATGTGAGGATCTGAGTTCAAAGCCAGCCCTGGTAGTGTAATTAACCAGCGCCCCAATAATCAGCAGGCCCGCAGATCAGCTTGGCCCGATGGCGCAGCCCTCTCCCCCCGCTGGAGGGGGCTGGGCATCAATGATGAGCTGACATCACCGTCCCATTGGACATGCCAGGAAGCCGGGGGGGGGGGAGGGAGGGGCACAGCCGATATACAGGCAGAGTGTTCTGGGTCCTGGTTGAGGAGGGGGAAGACCAGGAGTCCTGAGGGGAGGCCTTGGGAGAGTTCTGGGGGAGGAGGGGAGAGAGAGCAAAGAAGAAGTAGAGCAATGGAGCAGGAAGGCGTGGAGGGAGGGACAGTGGAGGGGCCAGCCTGCCCAAGCAGAGCAGGGCAGGCCTGAGCCAGGCAGGGAAAGCCTCTAAGGTCATCTGGGACCTCCCCGGAGGTCATTTGGGGCATTCCTCAAGAGGCCATTTGGGGCCTTCCCCTAGAGAGGCCGCGGAGAGATGCCTCCCGGAGCAGAGCAGGGCCGGCCTGAGGAGCGAGCAGAGGCCTGCAGAGGAGGAGGAAGGAAGCAAAAGGGAAAGCCTGCCCCTTCGGAGCCCTGGAGCTTTGGAGCACTGGAGGTCTGGGTTGGAGGTTTGCAGACCAACTCATAAAGGTCAGGGCCACCCAACGGAGGCTTGGAGGTTTGGTGGTTAAGGCTGCTCTGGGTTCTGGGTATCTAGCTCAGGACAAGGTAGTAGCAGGCCCCCTTTCTGGTATAAATGGTGTGAATAAATGTGTTTGTCACCTTTCACGGTGGCTCAATGGATTGTCTCACTCTTGAGAGGGGAGGAAAAATCTGAGACTCTTATCTCCCCTGAGTCACCACCACGCCGGAAGTGGAGGAGTCCAGCACCAGCCTTGGGCACTAAGGTCAGACACAGTGCCAGGGCCCTGAGTTCAAGCCCCAGGGCCTGCCCAAAAACCAAATGAGGAAATCATCAAAGGAGGGAACGCCTCAATCTTGGGTTATCTATTCTACAGGACATAAATCAGCCTAAGGAAATGCTCTTTTCAACTCTCCGTCCCTTTCCAAATCAAGTGTCACTGTCTGCTCTCACGGAGAAGTTGGCATCCACCAAGTGGAATCCAGCGGAAGTCCACCGTGAATCCTGGGAAAGTTGAACTTGCTTGGCTATTTTCATCTTTGGGTCCCAGCTGTGACCTCTTTGGTTCTGTGGGGCTCCTGGGACTTGAACTCAGGCCACAATCTTTTCTTTGTTGTTCCAGGCGGGTGCTGTACCACTTGAGCCACAGCTCCCTTCTGGCTTTTGGGTGGTTCGTTGGAGAGATACGGGTCTCACGGACTTTCCTAGCTAGGTTGGCTACAAATGGTGATCCTCAGATCTCAGCCTCCTGTGTCGGGGCTGACAGGCGTGAGCCACTGGCTCCCAACAACAATGGAGCCTTCTCTTTAGTTTAAGTTTGTGGCGCATGTGTGATTTCCCCATAAATGACTCCAAGAAGCATCTGGAGACTCGGGGGGGAAGGGAGAGGCGGTGCACAATGGGTCTGGAATAGGAGTTGCAACACTCAGCGTTTGCCCCTCATTCCAGGGCCGAGACTCCGTGAAGATGTGCTCAGCGTGGCCACGGAAACAGAGGAAGAGCTCTGAGATGCTGCCTTACTCACCTGCCACACTCAGCCCAGCCACGCCCAGGACCAGCAGAGTTACAGCAGCGCAGAAAAGCTTCCACGCCAGCCCGTGCCAACAGGGCCCCCGGCACCCCTCTGCAAGGAGCAAGAGATACTCGTTCAGTGGGCGCTGGAGGCTCAGCCCTGCCATCCCTGCTACTCAATGCGAGGATCATGGTTTGAAGCCAGCCCAGGCAGGAAAGTCTGTGAGACTCTGTGTGTGTGTGTGTGTGTGTGTGTGTGTGTGTGCATGTGTGCATGTATGTGCATGCGCCGATCTTAGGGCTTGAACTTGGGGCCTAGGAACTACCCCTGAATATTTCTGCTCAAGGCTGGTGCTCTACCACTTGAACCACAGCTCCACTTATGGCTTTTTGGTGATAGAGATAAAAGTCACACAGGGGTTTCTGCTCTGGCTTGGCTTACAACCATGGTCCTGAAATCTCAGCCTCCTCAGTTGCTAGGATGACAGAAAGGAATGAGGTATTATCACTAACAAAGTACCAATAAAAGCCAGAAGTGCTGTGGCTGAAGCAGTAGAACACTAACTAGCCTTGAGCAAAAGAGGCTCAGGGACAGCACCCAGGCCCTGAGTTCAAAGCCCAGGACCAGCATAAAAACAAAAACAAAAACAGCCAGGTGCTGATGGCGATAGTTGTAATCCTAGCTACTCAAGAGGCTGAAATCTGAGAATGTAGTTCAAAGCCAGCTGGGGCTGGAAAGTCTGTGAGACTCTGATCTCCAATGAACCATCAGAAAACCAGAAGTGGTGCTGTGGCTCAAGTGGTAGAGCACCCGCCTTGAGCTAAAGAGCTGAGGGACAGCGCCCAGGCCCTGAGTTCAAGCCCTACAGTGGACAAAAAGGAAAAAAAAAGCCTAAAACAAAATAAAAACTCTGTGTGTGTGTGTGTGTGTGTGTGTGTGTGTCAGGGTTTGAACTAAGGGCCTTTTTTGTTTATTTTTTTCTCAAGGTTGGCACTGTACCATTTGACCCACACCTCTACAACCAGCATTTTGCAGGTCCGTTGGAGATCAGAGTCTCATGGGCTTTCCTGCCCAGGCTGGCTTTGAACTGCGATCCTCCGCTCTCAGCCTCCTGAGCGGCTGGGATGACGGGCGGGAGCCACTGGCTAATTCTGTGTTATCCCCCAAGTTCACAGAGGAAACCATTTGCCATTTGGCCACAAAGAAAAATAGGTCTCTGCTCACGTCCATCCGGACTTTGTGGCCGGGCTGAGCTCAACCCCCGGTGTGTGGTGAGGCCCTGGGCCCAGGCTTGTGGTTTTACAACAGCCCAAGGCCAAGGTCTACACTGCTCTGAGCACCTTCTACTTCTTAGGTGTTTGTTGCTTCAGGGTTGGTTTGACAGATCCGACTTTCCGCGCTCGCAGCTTTGGGGCCCTGGATCAACAATGCTGAAGGGACTTCTGGCTTTTGGGTGGTTCACTGGAGATGAGTCTCATGGACTTTCCTACCCAGGCTGGCTTTGAACCACGATCCTCCCAGCTCAGCCTCCTGAGTAGCTGGGATGACAGGCGGGAGCAAAAGGCGTCCCACTGAAAATGGATAACTTGTGTCGACAAGAAACCCTAAAAATATAAGACATACCAAGAACGGTGCTCGTGACCCAACTTACAGAATTGTAACCCCGCTGTATGACACCTTAATAAACAATCACAATGGAATGGTATTAATAATCGAACACATATTAATTGCATTAAAACACAGGTGACCAGTAAAACGTAATAATAACAACCAATGGAAATTAAATTGGAAATGTAATTACGATGGTAATATTGTCAGAAAATTCAGTTTGAATTCAGAAGAGAATACAACAATATATATGTGTGTGTGCAAATATGTACATATATCATAGCAAATAGAACATATAGCTAGTGAAGTATTTTCTTCCTCAGTTTCTAGTCTTTTCTCCTCCATTCCAGACCTGCCATTTCTAATGTATGATTTCCCTGACTTGAAAGGAATCCTTGCATTTTCCTCTCTTTTGTTTTTACCTGCACTGTGAGCGGAGTTCACACTCTGTGGTATTTAAGGTTTCTGCTTTAAGCTCAGGGATGAAAATCCTTGACAGCACCAGAAATCCCCAAGTAGCTCTCTCATGCCATGAACTTCCTGAACTCTGAAAACACATTAAATAGACCCGGTACTGGTCGCTTACGCCTGTAATCCCAGCGACTCAGTAGCTCCCAGCCAGCCCTGGCAGGAAAACTGGTGAGACTCTGATCTCCCATGAACCACCAAAAAGCCAGAAGTGGAGCTGTGGCTCAAGAGGTAGAGCGCCAGCCTTGAGCAAAAGAGCTCAGGGACAGCGCCCAGGCCCTGAGTTCAAGCCCTAGGACCTGCATGAGAGAGAGAAAGAGACAGAGAGACAGACAGACAGAGAGACAGAGACAGAGAGAGACAGACAGAGACAGAGAGAGGGAGACAGAGAGACAGAGAGACTGAGAAAGAGAAAGACAGAGAGACAGAGAGGGAAAGAGAGAGATACAGACAGAGACAGAGACAGAAAGAGGAAGAGAAACAGTAAGTAGGTTAATTGCTGATCTCCTGTATCCTGTGACCTAAAAAAAAAAAGTTCTACCTTTAACTTAAAGAGCATCAGGTTGTAATTCGAGAATGTTCTTCCCTAAGTCTCCGGCAGCCTTTTGTATTGTATTTCTTCTCCTTCCTGTGCCAGTCCTGGGCTTATTGTCTCTGAGCCTTTGTGTTCCAGGCTGGCGCTCTACCACTTGAGCCACAGCTCCATGTCTGGCTTTTCCCACCATCTCCTTGGAGATCAGAGTCTCACAGCCTCTCCTGCTTGGGCTACCTGGGAAATGCAATCTGCAGATCTCAGCCTGCTGGGTAGCTGGGATTTTAGACGTGAGCACGGGTGCCTGGCACTCTGCGGGTATTTGACAGAGATCCTGTGAACACAGTCACGGAATCTCAGAGTTAGGACTGCGTGCAGGGAGCCGTAAGCACCGCTGGCACCAAGCAAAGCTCCAAGGGGAGACGCAAAGCTCAGATTCTGAAGGAGAGAAAGAAGAGGATGGTAACAGGGCAGGAAGGTGGGGGGTGTTAAACCTCCCACAGGATCATCATCCACGGCCAAGCCAAGCAAGCAAGAACAGGAGAGGAAAGCAGCCCTCCAGAAGATGCACAGAACCCAGCAACCAAACCCAGCGCTTACCCGGCGGGTGAGTGGAGGAGGGGGCGCTGTCTTGCGCGGGGGCCCTGGCGAGATGTAAATCAGCATATATGATGGGCAAGTCCATGGCTGGAGGAAGACGAGACCTTCTAGCAGCAAAGGCCAGGTCCAGGTTCTGTGGGAGACAGAAGCGCCGGCGGAAGTGGCGTGGGAGAGTGGTTTGCTGTCCGCCTGCAGCCCACACCCACACGAGACAGAGGCTGCTGAACTGAAGGCCTCTCACACTTGATCTTTCTGGAATGACATTCTAGAACGTCTTGATTGTTCTTTATTATTGTTATTTTTTTTTCTTTTTAGTGCCATACCTGGCACTTGAACTGGGGGCTATCCCTGAACTCTGTGTGTGTGTGTGTGTGTGTGTGTGTGTGTGTGTGTGTGTGTGTGTGTGTCCTGGGACTTGAACTCAGGACCTGGGCACTGTCCCTGAGCTTCATTTTTGCTCAGGGCTGGTGGCTCTACCACTTGAGCTACAGCTTTACTTCCAGCTTTTTCTGTAATTCATTGGAGACAAAGGTCTCTTAGACTTTCCTGCCCGGGCTGGCTTTGAACCACAATCCTCTGTTCTCAGCCTCCTGAGTAGCTAGCATGACAAGTGTGAGGCACCAGTGCTTGCTTGACTCCTGAGCTTTTCTACTCAAGACTGGCATTCTACTACTTGAGCCACAGCTCCACTTTGACTTGTGGTGCTTGATTGGAGATCAGAGTCTCATATAGACTTTCCTGCCCAGGCTGGCTTTGAACCGTGATCCTCAGATCTCAGCCTCCTGAGTAGCTGGGATGACAGGCGGGAGCCACGGGTACCTGGCTTTGTTCTCATTCTTATAATACCTGTTTGAGTGATTTTTTTTTTCAAGAGAAAAATGAGAATAGTGAGGAACTCGTGTAGAGTTAAGATAGGAGACCCCCTCCCCCCAATTCCAATTCTTGAGATTTTCTATACTATTTCACCCAATGTTATGAAAATAAAAAGTCATGTGTTTTTTTTTTCTAGACCTGGGGCTTGAACTCAGGGCCTGGGCGCTGTCCCTGAGCTTCTTTTGCTCAAGGCTGGCGCTCTACCACTTGAGCCACAGCACGACTTCTGGCTTTTTCTGTGTGTGTGGTCCTGAGGAATGGAACCCAGGGCTTCATGCACACTAGGCGAGCGTTCTACCACTGAGCCACCTGCCCAGCCCAAAAGTTGTGAGTTTTTTTTTTCAAGCCAGGCACTGGTGGCTCACACCTGTGATCCCAGCTACTCAGGAGGCTGAGATCTGAGGATCAAGGTTCAAAGCCAGCCTGGGCAGGAAACTCCATGAGATTCTTATTTCCAGTAAACCACTCAGAAAACCAGAAGTGGTGCTCAAGTGGTAGAGCGCTTGCCTTGAGCTGAAGAGCTGAGGGACAGCGCCCAGGCCCAGAGTTCAAGCCCCAGGACCAACCAAAACAAACAAACAAAAGTAATCAAAGCAAACAGGTCATAGAAACAGTCCTTAAGCATGCTATATATTTTTTTGGGGGGGTCAGTTGTGGGGCCTGAACTCTGGGCCTGGGCGCTGCCCCTCAGCTCTTCCGCTCAAGGCTGGCACTCTACCGCTTGAGCCACAGCGCCACTTCTGGTTTTCTGTGGTTCATTGGAGATCAGAGTCTCAGGACCTTTCCTGCCCGGGCTGGCTTTGAACTGTGATCCTCAGATCTCAGCCTCCTGAGTAGCTGTAATGACAGGCATGAGCCACCGGTGCCCGGCTGGGTCTCAAGTGTTAATGAGCATTTTAAAATGTGTGTAAAAACCTACGTTATGTACCTTTTTGATGATTTTTTTCCCCCTGGGCTAAAGTGGAAACGCCTTGGTCTGGCAATGTGCCCGGCGTTCTGTGAGGGAGGTAGTTTGGAGGAGAAACACTCAAGGCCACAGACTGGTGTGCGACCAACGGGCTCTTGAGACCAAATCTATGCTGGGCAGCAGATTGCTTTGTGGGACCAGACTCTGGTCCTGGCTGCCCCCCTCCCCAGGGTGAAGAGGGTGCTGTATTAGAGGCTTCCCCGGATGCAGGGGAGATGGGTCCCAACGTTAGCCAAGCCTGCACACTTGCCAGCATTACAACACAGGTGGCCCGGGTCCGTTTTCCAACTACGATGATCACCTGGCCCCTGTCTTCATTTCCATCTATCGGTCTGGACGGGGCAGGAAGCTCCAAGAGACTCATCTCCAGCCCTGTAGGAAGGACTGCGCAGGTTAGTGCTGCGTCCGACCCTTTCGTGGGCGACTTGATGAGAACACAGTTGCTGTTTTCCTGGTGGTGGCGTTACTATGCGGGGGATTCGTCTGCGGCGCCTTGCATTGTTCCTGTGGTTTATTATCTCTCTCCTTTCGGACCTGGCTTCCTTTTCAGAGTCAAAGGATGCTGCGCAAGATGTCTGCTCCTAGCAATCCGACGAACCATCTTCCCATGTCACCCCAGGATCCCAAGACTCACGCTGCGAGCTTGCCCATCCCGATTCCCTGAAGATGAAGGGAACAAAGCCATTTTAGGGGATACGAAGGAGGGTGATGTAAGGAAACTGAGGCCTGGGGAAGGAATCCCAGACATATGGCATCTAGAAACTTAGAAGCGCTATCTTTGCTTCAAAGAGAGGCCGCTGAACGCATCCTTTGCTGAGGGATGCATTTCTCACCCAAGATTTCACAGCTGCCTGACAGGATGCCCCAACACACAGACGGCAGGGTGTCTCCTCCTTTGAAGGGTAAGAATCTGTTTCACGGCAGGATGCATCTTGCCTGGAAACTCAGAGAATAACAAAGCAAAGACAAAGCACCTCACGTTGCGTAACTTAAAGCCAGACCCCCAAAGCCTTTACCCTGTAAAGACCCAACTGCCCAAGGAGCAGTGTGTCTCTCGGGGTGTCTCCTTGTGCGTGTGTCTGTCTCTCTCTGCAGGATTGTCCGCCTGTCTCTGTCCGTGCCTGCGTGCACGTGTGTGTGTGTGTGTGTGTGTGTATGTGTGTGTGTGTGTGTGTGTCTTCCCTCCCTAGGAGAGCTCCTACACTCTGCCATCCTTCTGCTGGTCTTTTGGTCTGTCTGCTCGCCTGCTTGTGACTCGTCCAGACATTCTTATTCAGGGTTGAAGTCAAGGCCTAAGGGACGAGTTCCCATGTTTGAAGGGGAGCATCACTAACCCTCACCTCCATCTGTGATGCTCCCAGGAATGAGGGAAGCCACGAGCCTGGGTTTCTCTGGGCCTGGGACCCTATCCAAGCACACGCACCCAAACGAACCCCTTTTGTTTGTCTTTCCTGGGGTTCATTTTTGTCTCCTGGGTGGGTTTCTCTGTCTCTGGGAGGGTGAGGGGGACACAGAAATGGGGGGACAGAGGGGAAACCAAGGCAGCCGTGGTCCTCGCTGGACACCAGATGGAGAATGAACTCTACCACTCGTGGGTGGGGATGGGAGGGAAAAGTGGGGGAGAGCGAGGGAAGGGGGGCAGGGTCCACAGAGAAGTGTGCTCAGTTTTTGTTTGTGGGTTTGTTGTTGTTGTTTTTTGCCAGTCCTGGGGCCTGGGTGCTGTCCCTGAGCTGCTTTTGCTCAAGGCTGGCGCTCTACCCCATGAGCCACAGCGCCATGTCTGGCTTTTTCTGCATATGTGGTGCTGAGGAATCGAACCCAGGGCCTCATGAGTGCTAGCACAGTCTATCACTTTAAGATAACCATTTACAAACTGGATACAAATGAATCAGTTTCCTCCAAGTTGCTATACTTGAACTTCCCAACAGAGGGCGCCGGAGTACTTTCTGTGGAGAGAGCCATAAACTCGGCAGAATATTTAACCCTTTGCTTCTTTACGAAGGGGATCATTTCCCTCAGCATCATGCATAAGTAAAGGGTAAGAATGAATTTCTGATCCCGAACTGAAAATTCAGGCACAGGGCTGGGCAGGTGGCTCAGTGGTAGAGTGCTTGCCTCACATGCACGAAGCCCTGGGTTCGATTCCTCAGCACCACAGACACAGAAAAAGCTGCAAGTGGTGCTATGGCTCATGTGGTAGAGCGCCAGCCTTGAGCCAATGAAGCTCAGGGACAGTGCCCAGGCCCTGAGTTCAAGGCCCAGGACTGACCCAAAAAAAGAAAAGAAAAAGAAAATTCAGGCACATTTACCTCTGTCCATGGTACAATGCCAGAAATGCCAAGACCCGGGAAGAAAAGGAACACAAGACAAAGACATTATGGCCTGAGGCTGGTTAATGCTTCAAATGCGCATCTCATCTCCTGTTTAGATCCTCTGGCTCAACTAGAGCACACCAAAGCCTGCTTTGTTATAATTTATTGATTGTTCCAGCATGGGGCTTGCTCACGGCCTGGGCACTGTCTCCGCTTTTTGCTCAAGGTTGGTGCTCTACCACTTGAGCCACAGCTCCACTTCTGGATTTTTTTTTTGGTGGTTGACGGGAGATTCCAATTACACAGGCCCAGCACTGGTGGCTCATACCGATCATCCCAGCTACTCGGGATGCTGACAGTTGTGGTTCAAAGCCAGCTGGGGTAGGAAAGTTCACAAGACTCTCACCGCTAATGAGCCACTGAAAAGTGGTTCAAGTGGTAGAACAAAAAAATGAAAAGACAAGGGCTGGGACAGTGTCCAAGGGCCAGGACTGGCACAAAACAAATAACAAGACTCTTGGCTTTGAACTGTGGCCCTCAGCTACAAGTGACCTTGGCTGGTGTCTGTCTCCATTCTGGTTCTCTGGGTTCTGGAGAAATCTTTATCTTTGTTGTGGCTCCCATGGGAAGGGAGCTGTGGCTTCCTGGTCCAGCCTGGCCCCTGTCCTCATTTAGGGGTGCTCTGCTGCTCCGTGTGGCTCTACTGTTCCTCACAGGTCATGTCAGCCCCTTGTCAGAAAGATGTTTCCATCCATTCTGTCTTCCCTGAACCCCAAGCTCACTGTGAGAGACACTGTGGAGAGAACCATGAAAAACTCAACATGGATGCAGAGCTGGGCGCTATGGCTCACGCCTGTAATCCCAGCTTTGCAGGAGTCTGAGATCTGGGGATCGGGGATCAAAGCCAGCCCTGGGAGGGAAAGTCTGTGAGACTTTTCTTACCAGTGAACCACCGGAACACGGGAAGGGGAGCTGTGGCTCAAATGGCAGAGCGCCATTGTTGAGCGGAGGAAAAAATACTAAGAAACAGTGGCCAGGCCCTGAGCTCCGGCTCCAGGACAGGCACCAAAAAAAGACAGGAAAAAATAATGGAAGCAGAGAGGCCAGGCCCTGCTTCTGCTTCTACTTAATGTATGGCCACACAGACAGCTGGAGTGTGGAGGATTGGGTCCTGCCTAA